GTTCTACCCTGTCCTACGGGGTCGCTGTGGGTCGGCATCGGCACGAGGGCAGGGAGTTTGTTTGTTGGGCTCGTCAAACCCACTATCTGTGGAGGAAGATGAGGCTGTCTGCTCCTGTAAGGATTTACAGTCTGGGAACCCCTGGGAGGCGGTTCCACTCAGTCCTGTAGGGTCGCTGTGAGCAGCACCCACTGGGAAGTGGGCGGGGTTTTTCGACAGACCCGGTGGCAGGTCTCCCTGGGTTACAAGACCACAGCCCCCAGTACTGATAGAATTTCACCCAGACATTTTCCTTGCACTTGCCCTGCGGATGTTGTGTCTCCGTCCCGCACTTTGCGCACCCCCGTGCACGCGCACACGCACACGCAGGATCTACTCCCCCACCCCACCCCCGTGACTAACTGCACGGCTCCGTGTTGCAGACAGACAAGGTGAAATTGACTTGGAGAGATCGCTTCCCCGCCTACTTCACCAACCTTGTCTCCATCATCTTCATGGTAAGAGCTGGAAGGGATGGGGGGGAGGGGCGCCCGAGCCTCGCCCTGGGACCTGAGGTGGGTGTGACAGCAGCAGTACCCGCCTCACCCCATGTGCCAGGGTGCTGTCACCATAGGGGGCGGGGAGTGAGCCCACCAGTGACCCCTGAAATGGCATGTGGAGAGGGGTGGGGTTTCGCCTCCTCCCCCCCCACCGAAAGGGATAGAAGGGACTTTGTGATACACGCCACTTCTGCCGTGTCCGGCTCAGGACTTTGACAGTCGGTCTGAGCAAAGACCTGTGACAGCAGCCACCTCCCAGAAGCTTGGTCCCTCTGCCCCCCTGCTCTCTGGCTAAGTTCTGCCCCAACTCCTTTATCATGCGGGACTAGCAAAGGTACTGGGGGGGGGCAGGGGGGGCAGAGCTACAGGTCCTGCTGGTGGTCTCACACCCAACCCAATCCCAGCCCCACCCGCTCCATTTCCCCTCCATTCCCTTTGACCCCTAGAGACTGATGCTTTCAAGTTATCAGTGCCCCGCCCCTTACATATAGAGCCCTGGTGACATAGCAGGCTACACATTAGACTGCTAACTGCAAGGTTGGTAGTTTGAAACCACCAGCCGCTCTGCAGGAGAAAGACAAGGTTCTCTGCTCCTGTAAAGGAGACCCACAGGGGGCCGTTCTCCTGACCCTTAGGGTCGCTGTGAGGCGGAGAGTGAGTGAGAGTTGAGAGGGCAGCAGGGAAAATCGTCCGTGGGGACAGGGAGCTGGTGGTGCTGTGGTCAAGCCCTCCCGCAAAGATGGCATCTTGGAGCCCCCAGGCGATGCGGCTCCGTCCTGTGGGGTCTCTGTGAGTCAGACTCATGCGAATGGCCATGGGTGTAGGGCACTAACAGGGAACCCTCGGGACCATGATGCCAAAGGTTGGACGTTCAAACCCATCCAGCAGATCCGCTGGAGAAAAGGCTTGGTGGTCTGTGCCCCTAGAGACACCTGTGGTGGCAGCCTGCTGGGTCCTGCCCACAGCTGAGGGGGCTGCTCAGCCCTGAGGGGCCCCATCGCCTAAGCTTCTGGGCGTGGCTTCCTCCCGCTGTCACTGACGGCTGGTGCAGGTGTGGTGTCTCCCCAGATGGCCTGTGTAAGGGGAGAGGGGAGGGCGGGCCTGCCAAAGCCTTCTCGCCAGAGCCCCTGTCTCGAGGAAAACCCCCCACCCCAATTTCCATGTCCTTGTTACTACCTTCCTTTCTCTGAGGTTCACAAGCTGAAGTTTGACTTGAGTCCGGTGGCCAACTTGTCCAGGAGCCTGCTGGCTGCCCTGGTGGGTGGTGTCCAGTGGGCTTCCCAACCCCCAGGTCCCTCCAGTGCCCCATGAGGCTTTACCACCTGTCCTTTCTTGTTCCCTCCATCTGCCGTCAGAAGTGCCACCGTGTCACAGAGGAGTCAGCCAACAAATGGAAGCAGAGGGTCCAAACCGCCATGGCGGGGGTGAAATTGGTACCCCTCTCTC